TAAAGTAGTGCATAATAGTGTAACATTAAATTCCTGTTCTCAAAATATGTATTGATCTTCAATGTATTGTGTTAAACCTTGCCTCTCTGAAATGTTAGAGACAAGATTTGTCTTCCTTTCTACAGTTTATCATTTTCACTGTTTTATTCCTGTTTAAAAGAAAAAGTCATTTGTAACCCATGCAAACAATCGTTTTGCCTGTGCTAACTTACGAATTTGGCTGTTCAATTAAGTTAATTGAAGGAACTTTAAAAAATGAAATTTGCACCTTTATTTTGCTTTCTCATAATCTTTGCTGATTCCCTGTTAATCTTGGTTTAGTGGCAAAATTTGAGATATTAGATTTCACACGACAAGTCGGCCTAAGTAAGGTATCTTGTTAATGACACAAGTAGGCATCTCTGAATGCATCTTACCAGGGTGATAAGAGCTTGCTAGAAAGTCCCGAAGATTTTCCAGCTTCCCCTGTGTTCTGGGATAGTTTACATAACACTTGAATTTTTTGGTTTAATGAAGGTTGGATGGAATTTACCCATGGGACCCAGGACACAGCTCAGTAGCCCAGTCAGTATGCCTGCCTAGTGCACATGAGTCTCTGGGTTTAAACCTTGGCACTGAAAAATAATTTTGTCTGTGTACTTTGATTTGATACCTGTTCTAGAGCAACTTTAAAAAAATTATTTATTATATTTTATGTGTATGAGTGTATTGCCCACATGTAGGTGCACCTGTGTTGTGCAATACCCAGGGAGGTCAGAAGAGGGCATCAGATCTCCTAGAACTGGAATTATGGGTGATTATTAGTTGCCGTGTGGGTGTTGGGAACTGAACCTGGGTCCTCTGCAAGAGCAACCAGTGCTCTTAACCACTGAGCCATCTCTCCAACCCAGCAAGTTTTTAAAAAAATTACCTTGACTATTAATCTATTCAAACATTCTGTCTCCTTTTATATAGATTTTAAGGATGTGCTTGCCTAAAATTTATCTCATTGATTTAAAATTTAATGATACATCAATTAAAGTACTCTTAATTTTCTGTTCTTTAAATTATTCTTCAGTTTACTATTTACTTCAAGTATTTGTGATTTTAATAGATTTATTAAAATTATGAATATTGTCAGATTTTTGCTTTGGCTGTGTCAGGAAAATTTCTCTAATTAAGGTCTGATTATTACTTCCCTCCAAGTAGTTTTTATTTCGTCTTTAATTTCCATCTTAACTGAATTTCTAATGTGGTTAGGATTTTTTAGGTCATCTATTTGCTGTCACATCTAATATTGGGTTTATGATAAGTTTTATAGAGTATGATTTGTGATTTTGACTTTTTGATTAATAGAGATTATTTTTGTGGGTGATTAATCTTAAAGTGCTTCACTAATGCTTAAAAAGAATATGTAGTCCCTCTTTTAACCATGAAATTATTGATTCAGGAGTGTTGCTTATGTTACTAAGATATTTCTTTTTTTAAGTTATCAACTGATACTAAAATATTTCTTATTCTTAGTTTTTGGTCTTGGTCTGTCAATTTCTGCTTCTAATATTTGCTCTTAAATTTTTAACACTTTCTGTCTTTTGCCTTAGATAGTTTAGTCCCATGTCTTACCGCATAGAATTCTCGGTATTTTATTTTCTTGGTGGTTTTGCCAGCCCCTCTGTGAATGCCTCTCTGCCATTGGTAATGCTTTACCACGGGTTCTGTTACATTACCTTCTTTGCTGCATCTTTCCTTCTCTGACAAAGAAAATGCTATGCTTCATTCCTTTGTCTTCATGTTCTTTTAAGAATATTAAATTTTATTAATTCTTTGAAAATTCTGTATGTGCATACAATGTGTTTTGATCATATTCACTCCCCTGTGCTCCCCTAACCCCTCCCAGATCCACCCTCACCATGGTTATAGAGTCAGGTTTGTGTCCTGAGATGCCCTTTGGTGTGGATTCATCCACTGGAGCCTAGTTAACCTACCAAGAGTCACACCGGTAAATGAGACAGACTCTCCCCTTCCCAGCAGCCATCGGTCACCAATAGTTCCTTAGCTAGGGCTGGAATTTCTTCTCCACTTCCCCACATCTATTCCTGGAGTTTTTTCTGGCTTGAGGTGGGACTCGTGCATGCTGTCACTACTGCTGTGAATTTGTACAAGTAACTGCATGTCCTCTTTGAGACAGGGTCTCCCTGTAGCCCCAGTTAGCCTGGAACTCATTATGTAGACCAGGCTGGCCTTGGTCTCACAGAGATCTGCCTACCTTTACCTCCTGAGTACTGGGATTAAAGGGGTGTGCCACCATGCCTGGCCTCTCTCTCTCTTTTTTTATAACCCACTGGAGTCCAATTTGTGTTGTCCATATACTCATGGGTATGGGTAGGGCTATGGGTGTGGGTAGGGCCATCCACTAGACCATGGTCACTCTATCAGGGGCCACATACTTAAAATTCACTCTCTCCCAGAACCACAACTATCCATAGTTTCTTAACTGGGGTGGGGGACTCCTGAGCCCTTCCCCCTCCATTCCTTGTTAGAATGTCAACTGGTTTGACCTCGAGTAGGTCTTGCATTGACCACCACAGCTGCTGTGCTGGACGCAGCATCCTGTCGTGTCCAGAAGACACTGTTTTGCTCTGATCTTCCCTGACCTCTGGCTCTTAAATTTCCAACACACTTCATAGCCACGTGTCCAGCAATATTTAGACTTATGCGTTTTACTGGCTACTTTCCTTGTAGCGGCTGCCTCTGTTTTTAAGATGCGCTTTGTTTCCTTGTCATTTCCTGGAGTATGCTTGAACAGCTTTCAGAAAGGTGTTTGCACAATGTGCCAGGCATCTTCTCTTTGTTCCTCCAGAGCTTCCCTCTCCTCTTGCTCCTGTCCTAGCCTACAGGCTGGTCTGTACAGACTGTGTCAGGGGCATTGCATGACCCCTGGAGGGTTCCCTACACTTTAATCACAGTACATAAATACAGTTTTCCCTGGGGATATGTAGGGATTGGCTCCAGGATCCGCTATGGCCTCCAGTGCCTTTTATATAAAAGGTACAATGTTTGCATAATACCCACCATATTTGTTACATCACTTCTAGATTACTTATAATATTTCATATATGTAAATGCTGTGTAAATAGTTTTAATGTGCTACTTAAGGAATGAGAAAAAAGTCTATACATGTTCAGTACAGATGCAATTACAGTATTTTTGACATGTGCATAACACACACACACACACACACACACACACACACAATTTTTGATCCCTAGTTAGTTGGATCTGAGTTTGGTTGAAGTGCCAGCTGGGGTCCTTTATAGACTCTCTTTCACCCTGATTCAAGCATGCCATCGGGCTCTGCTGCCACCTGAGGGACACGGCCCTCGTGAGCAAGGGGACTCCTTTGGTGCAAAGTCCATGTAATCTGGTGTCTATCTGCTTCAGGCTTTGTGCCAGCATACATTTTCTCACTTAGTTTTCATTTAGTTGTGATGAAATCAAATGTACAATTTTGAATACATGGTAATTCTCAGAGTCACATGTAAGATGCCACTGATAACAAGCAAGCCTGTGGCCAGACACCAGAGACCCTTCTATAGGAGATACTGTAGGGCTTGGGAAAGAATTCAACCTCTTAGATTCTCAGAGAAAGAGCCCGTATTCACTGAACACTGAGGAAGCAACTGGGAGAGGTACATGAAACCTTCTGGGTCCCTGGGAGCTGAGGGTGGCTAGTGGGTTGTACAAGGCTGGGCCCTCCCTGGTTTCATTCCTTGTCTCTGGAAGTCCAGGCCTCTTGGTGACACTGGATAGCTGAGAACAAGGAAGTCACCAGGCTGCTGACAACCGGATTCAACAGGTTGTCTTTTATGCTGGTTGTCAGATGCATACATCTAAATGTATACATGTTGTATAACTTGTTTTAATGAAAACCTCAGAACTGTGAGACCTTGAATACTTACCTCCCTAATCTTGTCCTTCCTCCCCAGGGCTTGGGATGCAAGAAGATCTCCCCAGATAAAAGGCAACATGCTTCTAGAAATTTCAATCTGTGGGCATGTGACTATATCCCATCATGTCTGGATGGCATTTCAAATAACAAAATATCATATGTATATAAGGAGGCTGTGGTGGTCACAGACTTCCGACGCTTCCCAAGGTATTACAGTGAAATGTGGAATACTTTCAAGTTTGTTCCCAGGCCAAGCTATACAGAGTTTTTGATAAAGAAGTCAAAAGTAAGGGTTAGTGTCGACACCCAGGCTGTTTCTCCACAAGCGCCCTAATCCTTCCACAAGGTTTGGGCTGTGTTTGATAATATTATTTCATCGGACATTTGTAAAGTATATATTTCTGATCCAACGCCATCACTTAATTGTTGAAATACTTTTATGTCTTTAATAAGGTTAAAAATGTCCAAATCTTTATAAAGATATATTAAGCTATATGTATGTGTAAATAAACTGTTAAGATTGTCACATTTGCTTTGGGGGGGGGTTAAAGTTATATATGTCATATATGGTTATATTTTCACTTTGACATTCCAAAAAATACAGAGGGAGTAAAATGTTTCTTTGATTCCATTACATCTCCAAACCTTGCTCTGTCACAGAAAATTATTCAACTACTTGTTTGTAGTCTATGCTTGTAACTCATGTACAGGTATATAAATACATAAAAACTTGAACTTGAACCCATGTTTAAACCTTCTATTGTTTCACAATATGTAACATTTTATAAATTCATTTTTTATGTCTAGACTTGTGCCTTTGTGTTCTTTCAGTGTTAGTAATAAGTAAGATGATTTGGTTTTTAGCGCTAATTATGCTTCATCACCAAATATAGACACACTGTGTTTTAGAAACTACTTTTTTATTAATGGGCATTTGGACTACTGATAACATTTGGGGTCTTCCCAGGATTATGATAGTTTCATTGAAAGCACGCTATATGAACACATTAGATCAGCCTCCTTGGGTGATGTGTATGTGCATTTCAGGAGCCCATGCTGAAAAGTTAATGGCTTGGTGCAGGATTGGATAGTATGTATACTTCAAGATCATGGCCAAATTGCCTTTGAAAGACCAAGATCCAGGGCTGGAGAGATGCCTAACAGTTAAGATCACTGACTACTCTTGCAGAGGACCTGGGTTTGATTCCCAGTACCCACATGACGGCTAACAACAGTCTGTAACTCCAGTTTCAAGGGAATCCGAGGCTCTTTTCTGACCTCTGTAGGCATTGCACGACACGAGTGTACCTACCTTCTTGTAGGCAATACACTCATACACATAAAATAAAAATAAGCTGTTTTAACAAGGAAAGACTAAGGTCCATTAAACCTCTTCCAACTGCATCTATGAGTTTGTGTTTCTCTTCCTCCTGTTGTCTTTTGGGTATTTACAGACTGAAAAATAATTTTGCTAGTTTCCTTTTACTTTCTTCTTTGCATATATATGCATGGTATATGTGTGTGTATGTACACTTTCACATGGATGCATGTGGAGACCCAAGGTTGATGTCAGAAGTCTTCTTTGATCGCTCTTCTACCTTATTCTAGGAGGCAAGTTCTCTCAATCCGATCCAAAGCTTACCCACATGGCGAGGCGTGTTGGCCGGCTTGCTCGGGGATCCTCTGTCTCTGCCTTGGAGGCTGGAATTACAAGGTGAGCCGCCACTCCCACCCAGCATTTATGTGGGTTCTGGGGGTCTGGGCTGTGGTCCTCATATCTGCATAGCAAGCACTTTAACTAAACCATGGAACCATCTCTCCAGCTCTAGTTTCTCACTTTATATCAAAGTTTTCTTGTTTATGATTGAATGTTTTCCTTATGCATGAATTTTAGAAAGAAAACCTGTCAGGTAAGAAATAAAATCCAATTTGATAGAAATTTCCTCAAATTTAGATGCTAATTTTAGAAAAATTGACAAATTTATACTGTGGTATAACCCCCCATTTATTCAAAACTCTTTTACTATTCTTAAGTTTATAATTTTTCTTACATAGTTGTGATTTATTTCCATGTCTATTCCTGATATTTTGAAAATTGTTGAGTATCTTTATTGTTTGAGAATTTTATACATGTATGGAATGTGTTTTGATCAAATCCACCTCCATTCCGTCCCTTCCCCTCCAACTCCTCCCCCATCCCTATCCCCCCACTTTTCCCTCTCAAAATCTTGTGCTTTTGTTTGCAAACCCACTGAGTCCACTTAGTGCTGCCTGTAGTGCGTGGGTGTGTGGCCATCTGCTGGAGAATGGGGGGCCTTTCAGTAGTCACATCCCTGAGGAAAATGGACCCTCCCTCCCCCAGCAGCCGTAAATTGTCAATAGCTCTTCAGCTAAGGGTGGGACTTTGTGAATCCCTCCCTGATCCATGTTCAGATTTTGGCTGCTTTGACCTTGTTCAGGTCTTGTACACGCAGTCACATAGCTGAGCCATATCTCTGGAAACACTACTTTGCAGGAATCATCCACTACTTCTGACTTTTAAAATCTTTCTGCCCTCTCTTCCCCAGTGATCCCTGAACCTTGGGGAGAGGGGGTGTGATAGAGATGTTTCATTTAGGGCTGAACACTACAGTCTCTTATTCTCTACACTAACTAGTTATAAACTATATTAATCAACTTCGAGCGCAGAAAGAAACTTCTCTGATACGAGTATATAAGAGCTTAGGGGGCAGTTTATCACTATGTCCCTTTAGCAGAATAATAGCATTAGGTTCTTCCCTAGGGCCTATGACCCACCCAGCCATGCATGACTTTCATCCTGTGGAGCAGGCCTTAACTCCATTCAGAAAGCACTAGTTACTGTCAGAACATTTGTACCATGATCACACCCATGGGCATATCTTGCCAGGCCAGTCATTATAGCTTGTGGGTTCACAGCGGGGTAAGACTGATGATCACTTTTCTGGCAGTGTGCCGTTTCCTGGTAGGCGCGAGCTTGATCTCTCCATGTCCTATGACTCACGTATGTGGTGTCTTCAGCAATAGGATCCTGCTGTGACGTTCTGGAGGGTGACCAATAGCAATGGCAATTGTCTGTAATGTTTTTTTTGGGGGGGGGTGGCGGTCTATGGGACTCTATAGACCAAGAACTTGAAAAGAGGTAACCTGTATCTGTCACCGGGCTTTTTGTTTGATATCCTGTGGTGTCTGGGAGAGGCATTGTTTCCTAAATAGGATGACTCCATTTAAAACTTTCTATATAAGTATCTGTATACGTTTTAGGAACCTTCTACTTCTACAGTAGGTTTCCAAACAGCATTTTCAAAGACCCTTAGGGTAAGTTCTCCATGCCCGTGCTCCCCCTTCACCCCCACCCTTCTCACTTTACACCACTTGTGTTCTATCCTCCTCCCTTAAAATCCCTCCATGGCCTCTCCTGACTTCTATGCACACTCCAATTTAAACAGACATCTCAAAAGATTAAAAGTTAGCATCTACAGTTGAGAGAGATGCAGCGTTTGTCTGTCTCAGTCTGGGTCTTGGTGATTAGTTTGAATTTTTTTATTTATTCATTTTCTTTTTTTCTTTTCCTTTTTTTTTTTGATCTTTTTGAAACAGGGTCTCCCTGTAGCCCCAGCTGATCTGGAACTCACTATATAGATGAGGCTGGCCTTGAACTCACAGATATCCACCTGCCTCTACCTCCTGAGTGCTGGGATTAAAGGCATGTGCCACCACGCCTGGCTATTCATTTTAATTTTTATGTTTTGCTTGTGCGTATGTGCATGCAGTGCCTACGGAGACTGGAAGAGGGTGTCATACCCCGTCCCATGTAACTGGAGTTACAGATGGTTGTGAGCAACCATGTGGGTACTGGGACTTGAACCCAAGTCCTCTGCAAGAGCAGTCAGTGCTCTTAACCATTGTGCCATCTCTCCAGGCCCTTGAATGCTTTTTGTTTTTTAAGTTGCCCTTTTAGATTAGTTTTGACTAGAAAAAGTTATTGATTTCTATATGTAAATCTTGTATTTGCTCACCCAGCTGATCTTTTAATAAATAACTTAATGAAATAAAAATAAATTCCAGTAATTTCCCTTTTGTTTCCTTCCTGCATTTTCTGTATAAACAATGCAATCACTTGCAGAGTAGTAGCTTAGCATTTTTTGTGATACTTAGGGTCCTCTTGCTGCACTGGGCAGGTCTGACTACAGCTTTTTTGTTCATTTGTTTGCTCTTTGAGATGGGTCTCCCTGTAGCCCCAGCTGGCCTGGAGCTCACTATGTAGACCAGGGTGGTCTCAGTGTCAGAGACTGGCCTGCTTCTACTTCCTGAGCACTGAGATGAAAGCTACCACACTGGCTTTTAGGCACAAGTTTAATATTAGCATTCGTTTAACATTAGCTTGGTAATATCTTAGTTCTAAATTTAATGGGGTTGCTTCTAATATGTCACCCAGAAACCTGACTTCTCTTGTAGGTTTCAGGTAGCTAAATTCTATCTGTTCGTCTAATTATGATCTCTGATAGTCCCACTATACAAAGGTTGGAAAAAAATTTCCTCAGGTCTCTGACCATAGTCCCCATTTCCTCTCCCAGGCCTAGCTCTATGCCAGGCCTGTGTGCAGCCTTCCCCAGGAAGATTATGTATAGATTCTGTCTCACACTTTCTCCCTTTCTCTTAACAAACACCATAAAAGATGGCATCCAATTGCTGTTTCCTGCTACTCTCCTACAAATTACATTTATAATTTGAAGTGATTTCCTATTAGTACGTACATGTTTAATTTTTATTTGTGTGTTTATATATGTATGGTGTGCATGTGTTTGCATGTGTGTGTGCTTATGGGGTTTATGTTTAGAGGCCAGAGGCTGACATCTGAGTGTCTCCCTCCATCACTTTCCAGTTTATTTACTGATACAGGGTCTCTTGCTGAACCCAGAGCCTGCCAGTTTGGCTGGACTAGCCAGCCAGCTTGTGGGTTACAGGCAGGCTGCAATGCCCACCCAGCTTTTATGTAGGTGCTGCGGATCCAAACTCTGGTTCTCACTCTTGTATAGTAAGCCATCCCATTAATCCTTCTACTTCTTAAAAAGCCAAAACTAAGGCTACCTAGAATTTCCTCACACTGAATGTGCCATAGTTCCTGTACACTATTTTTTTTTTTTAAGATGGTCTCCTGTAGCCATGGCTGGTTATAAAACTTATTGTATAACTGAAGGAGACCTTGAAATTCTATTTTCCTGCCCTATAAAGACTTTAAACATCTTTAGTTATCCTCTTAAATTTTTTTTGGTTTATTATTATTTTATGTGTATGGGTGTTTGGTCTGCTCATATGTAAGTGCACCTGTGCCATGCAATGCCCGTGGAAGACAGAAGAGGGCATTGGATCCCTTGGAACTGGAGTTATGGATGGTTGTTAGTCACCATGTGGGTACCAGGAATCAAACCTGAGTCCTC